CATTTCCTCCACTGACGCTTTTAGAGTCAAAACACTGTTTGCAGCTAATATTCACACAAGCTAATGAAAATGCGTCTTCTAAGAGTCTACAAAACAATAAGTACACATACCTTTATTGAGTGTAAACTCCACAGACTTTGTCATCAAATATCTGCCCCCAGATATAAGATTTAAACCGGTTTCAAATACCTCCGCTAGGTGCTGGACATTATTTGCAGGGACGCTATTCTCGGCATAACAGTTAAGGGTCATATCTTTGTGAAATGTACCTTTAAATGTCCTGAAATCACCATTTACAGCATGGGCATGATTTCAGACCATGTCAGCTTTGTCAGGGAGGTCTGAGTTAGATCTTTATTGAAGTAGGATTATTTTAAATCAATAAATAGTACTTTTTTCATTTTTACTCCACTTTTTCTTTATATTTCGGAACAACATCCATGCGTGCTGTCATCAACCGCTCCTGAAACCTGAGAAAACCTACACAAACTCTTTGATTCCCTCTGCAATATGCATCTTAAACAAACACTAACAACATGCTTTTTACTCATTGATGGAACTTCTATTAATGGCCCAGGCTTTTAATTAGTTTTAAAGCATTATTGTGTTGAGTCAGATCCTCGTGAGATGTTTCCTAACTATCCTGAAGTCATTATTAAAATCACGGGGAGCTCCACGATTCGTTTCTAAATTAATGTGGTGACGCTTTTGTCTATGAAGAGACACTTCCTGTATTTAGGACAGAAGTCAATATGAGACAGTAAACAGGACAGGAAAGAGTCGTTGTAATTATTACACCAGAAATAATATTAAACAGTGCTCACACACGAGCATCATCCTGTCTTTCTTGGACAGATGTTGAAGTTCATTCTCTAACAGGGAGCTGCTTTTGTCTGTCTTAACGTTCAGAAACACCAGGCGAGTAAAAAGGACTTGTCCTTAAATGGGGATGAACTTTTATTTCAAGTTTTACGGTATGTTACTGTAGTGTCTAATCCAGTGATGACAGTCCACATCAGGCCCCCCAAAACTTCACATCCGGCCCCCTGAATATAAATGATCTCGGGCGATCAAACAATACAAATTTTTTTTTAAATCTGACGGCTGAAATACTTGCATCAGGTTCTTCACATTGAGCGGGACAGCCTTCAGGCTTGTGTCATATTTTAAGGCGATATTTAACGATGACTGCATGTTGCGCTCGTTTTTAATGTAGGTTTTTGCCCGATTTACCCCAACCACGTCCGGGGGGCGTGGCCTAATACGAGGCAGGTCATATCCGATTATTTGTCCAAAGAATCCTTCAGTGTGTGGCGTCACTGCTCCTGATCAAGTTTGATATTCGTGACTCCTCCTACAGAACACCTGCAGCAGCCAATGAGAGCGAGCGGACGTCGAAGCTTAATCTGTTGTATTGACTCAAGAGTTTCAGCAGCGTCTGTTTTCAACCTAAAAACAACAACAACAGCAGCTGCAGCGTTTAGCACACAGGATTACACAGGTTTGGATGTAATGATGGGGTTTAACAGGGACAGAGCCGCGTCTTCTACAAACAAACATGGCCGCTGGTCATGTCCACACTCGCCACCGTCCTGTGTCATGTGGTCATGTTTGAGTTTAAAAGCTGGCCTCATTTATTGGAAGATCAGTCAGACGTCTCTGTTCTTAGTCTTAGTTTCATCATTTAGAAAACATTCTTCATAAAGATGTCTGTGTTGTGTCAGAGTGCAGAAGATCCTCCAGCAGCAGCAGGAAGGTCCTCCTCCTATCTTCAGTGAGGAGTTATCAGAGGGGTGACAGCTGTTTATCAGTCTGCTGCAGCGTCACATGCAGTGTCAGTGACGATTGCTCGGGCTTTTTATTCTGGATCAGCAGCTTTCTGCAAACGACACCTAAATGAAGACGTGACAAAACGTCTGCTGCACTCACATGAAGGGAAACGACTGAACAGGACTGTAAATACCTTTTTGGTCTTGATGTTCAAGGCCACCCTTAAGGGGTGGGGGGCATGGGGGGTAGGCGTTAAGGTTAGGTAAAACATGGTCCATCCTAAATTTAATCATAACAAATTGATTTGAACCTAAATACTCAGAATTAACACAACAAATAAACATTTTATTTATTTATCGTTGCCTGTTTCAAATGTGTAAAGCCCCCGTTCTTAAAATGGTATGAACCTTTTCTTTTATGGACATTAAAGTTGTGGCATTAATTGTTTGGGCGGTAATGTCGTGCTGGGTGTAGCTCCTCATGGACAAAGCGGATGTTGAAAAATGAAGCCGATGCTGAAGTGCAATAAATTCCTTGAGTGTCCACTAGAGGCTGGCTCCGTTTCATAAAAACAGGGTTAATTTAACCGCAGTTTGATCGTCTGGATATCTGGATTTATGATGATGACTTCATAATTTATCTGAACAATAACTGAAGCAGAAACTTGAATGAAGAGACTTCAAAAATACGACTCCTTTAAATCACAGAAACACAGGCGCAGTACGACTCTTCACATGAATCCATCTCTGTCTCTGTTTGCAGAATCAAACCCTTCCTGACCTGCGGAGAGAGTCTGAGTCGCCTGCATCACCCTGATCCTTCTTACATCCTCACCGCACGCCCCCCCACGGCCAGTGTCTGGCCACTGTAACCATGACGACAGGGGGTTGTTGCCACCTGCCCGGCTCCCTATGTGACTGTGCGAGCAGCACGGGCCTGTGGAAGAGCGTGGAGGAGGCGGGCGGCGACGGGTGCCAGGCACTTTACGTCACCCAGGTCACAGCCATCGACGGACAGCTGCTCTCCTCCGTGCTGAAACCCGTCGGATCACAAATGTAAGAGTTCACTTTTTAGTCATTAAGTCAGGAGAGAGGGCCTTATGGAGAAAGTAAAAGTTAGAGATGGGACAGATACTGACCGTGCCGATGTGCATCACTGATCCAGAAAGATAGTCCTCAGCTCGCTCACTCTCTCTTTGAAGACGTTCACACTAAACTGTAAGAAGAGTCCACAGATTGTCTCCATGACGACGCTCAGACCAGATGGAACAGCTCCTTCCAGTGATCAACTCCTACACTTCAGATTCAAACTTTTAATTTAAAAAAACCTGACAGTTGTTGCTGCTTCCTGTTTGTATGTGAAGCACAGAGTGCAGATGTATTTTTTCATGTTCATTTTTATGCAACGCCAGGTTTAGTACACCTTACACATGAAAGCAACACCAACTACTCCATGTTATTATCTAAATACATTTCAGTATCAGTAGATAAAACAGTGGATCAGTGCATTAATGGAAGGTGGACACCTTTGGACACCTTTTTACAGGTCCTGCTGGGATATCAGTCCTCTAACTATTGATTGATTCTTCAGTAACTGAGCTGTGTTCACTTAAAGAATCATCTCGCCCCACATAACGCCATCAAACTTAAGGTAAACATTTCTCTGTCTCAGTGATGGTCCCATCTGTCGCATCTGCCATGAAGGAGGCAGCGGTGAGGTTCTCCTATCTCCCTGTGACTGCACAGGCACCCTGGGCACCGTGCACAAGAGCTGCTTGGAGAGGTGGCTGTCGTCTTCCAACACCAGCTACTGTGAGCTCTGCCACACCGAGTTCAGCATTGAGCGCCGCCCGAGGCCTCTCACAGAGGTAACAAAGGTCAATGCCCTCCGCCTTGTCTGCATGAATCTTTCTCCTTTTACTGCCGTTTGATTGTGTAGCAGCAACCTCCAGTCTTGTAAAATGAAGCAGATGCTGAAGTGTAAAATCCTGCAGTTCCTGGAGTGTCCACTAGAGGCTGGCTGCAGAAGCACAGGAAGTCACATACACACCCATTCTAAAAAGTCTGTTTTTACAGCAGAGATTAACATGTTTACAGCCTGGTTCAAAAAACCAAATAGGTGTGATTAGCTCATGTGTCGATGGACACACACTGTACGGGGGGTGAATGTTTTGATGACTCATCAGTTTTGATTTGATGGTGGGCGTGGTGTAACGGTTTGTCAGGAGGTTTAAAACCCGCCTCAGCTCCAGCTCTCAGCCTGTCGTTAGGTTGACTGAAAGTTAGACTGAAACAGCATTTCCAGCATGGAGACCACCATCGATGGGACTCCAGCGCCCCCTGCAGGAACACTCAGGCTTCGTCGTTGATATTAACAGTATGATATAAGTTTGTGAAGCACCTCATCTCTGCTGTCTGTCCGTCTGTCTCGTCTTTGTGTTCCTGATTGACTTTAAGATCTCTCCTCTCCCTCTTTTCTGATTTCCTGTCTCCTACTTCTTTTTTTCCCACAGTGGCTGCGGGACCCCGGCCCTCGTAATGAGAAGAGCACGCTGTTCTGTGACATGGTGTGCTTCCTGTTCATCACTCCTCTAGCAGCTATCTCAGGTTGGCTGTGCCTGCGGGGAGCTCAGGACCACCTTCAGCTGGGGAGCTGGCTGCAGGCTGTGGGCCTCATAGCCCTGACCATCGCCCTCTTCACCATCTACGTCCTGTGGACTCTGGTAAACATGAACACACACAGAGATGAAGACCTCTTAGAGGACTTTAACGACCTCATAACAGTCTCCTTCTTCACTTCACAGGTGTCGTTCCGCTACCACTGTCAGCTTTACTCGGAGTGGAGGAGAACAAACCAGAAAGTACGCCTGCTCATTCCTGTAGCCAAGGACTCCAACTCTTCCCAGCATTCCTTGCTCTCGACCAAACTGATGAAGAAGTCGGCCAATGAGAGTATAGTATGAGAGCGTGACAGCAGTGGGGATGCATCAGACTTGCCAGCAAGCCTTTGAAGAGACTTGTGTGGGCTTCTTTTTTTTTTTGTCTCTATTTGAAACATGTCGTCTCTGCCCCATCAGTACTGACTTCATTTTGCAATTTTTTTATTCGTCCTCCTGTGGGTGCACCCAGCACCTCTGTGTGTCACGTGGATACAATGATGACATTAGAGGGCCGTGACAGCAGGAGAACCAACGACCAAATAACTGCAAAGAGCGATGAGCTTGTTAAGTTCTTTTCTTGTCTTCTGACGACTCAGAGCATTTGTAACACCGCAGGTCACACTGACACATTCACACAATGATGGTAGAGGCTGCTGTGTAACCCATGGCAACCCATTCATGCACAGACGACAAAGCAGCGGAAGCAACTTAGGTTAAGTGGGACATGTTGCTGCAGGAGCTGGGGATCAAAGAGAGACAACCGGCTCTACCACTGAGCCGCAGCCGCCCCGCTCAGCTCTAATCATTGCTGCGTTTAGCTCGACGACTCATTGGCAGTCCTCAGATGATCGCAGTGCAGCAGGTCCGGGGTTTTCTGCCTGTTGAGCAGCGTTAAGATTCCATGATCCGGTGTGGAAAGGATTTTCCATTCCATCGTCGGGATGCCAGCACGCTGAGATAAAAACATCAAACTTTAATCTTTCCAGATGTGTTTTTGCACCTGTGTTTTACATCTGATGCAAGCGTGGACGAGCAGCGTCGATTGCATTAGATCAGCCTGAGATTGTGCAATAAAAACACTGTGGACTCTGAGGTCTGCATACGACATGCAGAGACCTCTCCCAATTTGCAGAGCGATGCATGCCAGCACTGTTGATGATGTTTGGATTTTTTATGGTGTTTTCTTAAACTCTTTCTCTAACCAAGAATGAAGCGTTGAACGATTCCATTCCTGAAGTGGGCTCTAAATGTGTCCTCATAGAGGTTCTCGTCCAATCAGCACTTAGCAGGAAGGTCTGTGAACGACCTCTGCACTCCTCTCTGTCAAGACATCTGTCAGAGGAACATTTCCACAGTGTACTGTCGGCCTGAACGCCTCCTCCTGATTCACCTCTTAATGTCCTTAGTTACAGCTGTTTTTGTTTCTGTTTTCAGCGGTGAATATTTCTGTACGTGTGTCATCACAGAAACATCTTGTGAGCGTTGTGTGGCTTTAATAATGGATCAATTATGCAAGAACCACCAAGGCTTAATCTGACTTGAGCTTTTGTTTGTGTCTCAAGGAAGTCGCTAGATTCTCATGTCAATGTGTTTGCTAATGTGCCCTGGTCAAGTTCAAAGGTTTAGGTCGGATTCAAACCCGGTCCGAGAATTCTCTTCTGTCCCCTCTGTTTCGGGAGAAAAGTGTCACTACTTTGGCTTAGTGTCTCCAGGTCATGATATGCTCAGTCTTAAACTGTGAACAGTTCACCTCTAAAGATGTGTAGCTGCCAAAGTCTGAATCTTTTGCACCGCCGGACTTTTTTTAATCAGACTTGTAGAATAATAAAGTGATGGCAACATGTCAGATTTCGAGCAGATTCTTTGGCTATGAGGAGCTGTCAGTCATCTTTGCACTAAATCTTCATGTGACTAAAACCTTGTGATCATTCCTCCTTCTTCTGGATTGTTAGAAAGCTTTAGTGATCGCAGCGAGGACTGTTTCAGAAGTGTTGAGCAAACCTCTTTTTGGTCATTAATGCCGCGTCCCCTCCCTGGCTGCGTTTTGTGTGCACTCACGTGACCCTCTGGTTCTCTGAGCTTCTGGTGGGTTGCCCCACATACTGACCCAGTTAATCGTCTGTTTGTGTTTTGAACTGATCTCTGAACAAAGGATTACATCCTGCAGGGCTGCGACGCTCCCTGGGCCTCAAACGAGCTTATGAGTCATCTGATCATCCTGGTGTTTACTGTTTGTGCGATCTGGATGTGACTAACTGATGTGAGTCTAAAGAGAGGAGGTTATCGCAAACATCTGGATGTGACTAACTGATGTGAGTCTAAAGAGAGGAGGTTATCGCAAACATCTGGATGTGACTAACTGATGTGAGTCTAAAGAGAGGAGGTTATCGCAAACATCTGGATGTGACTAACTGATGTGAGTCTAAAGAGAGGAGGTTATCAAACATCTGGATGTGACTAACTGATGTGAGTCTAAAGAGAGGAGGTTATCACAAACATCTGGATGTGACTAACTGATGTGAGTCTAAAGAGAGGAGGTTATCACAAACATCTGGATGTGACTAACTGATGTGAGTCTAAAGAGAGGAGGTTATCACAAACATTGGATGTGACAATGTGTGAACAGTCAGAGCTGCTCCTCGCTCTCTTCATGTCAGAGTGCTCAGAGCGAGCTGCAGCAGATCCTCTTGTCTCCGAAGAGTTTCTCTATAAATTTAAAAAAAAGCTGTTTCATTCAGCGTCCACACTTTACCTGCAAAAATGTGTTTTCTCTGTTTATTACACCAATAAGGTATGAGAGGATATTGACCTGCTTACAGACGTCTGCACATCAGCAGATAATGAGGCAATGTTTGTTTGTTGTGCCAAATCAATTGAATGCTGACGTCGAGGACACCTGCTGTAAATCTGGACTACAAGACGAGAAGTCTTCCAGAGAGACAACTGGTTGAAACTGTAGTCCTGCGTGATGATTTCTGTTCCAGCTGTGTTGCTGTTTTCACTTTGTGGAGTTAGCACTCCTACTAGCTGCAGTACGTTAGCTGAGCTAGCTGTGATGAGACCTGTGCTCTCCACCTCCTTTGCTCACTCATTGACTTTAAGGAGTCTTCTCAATCTAACCTCCACAAGCTTTATTTATTTACTGAACCGTTTATTGAAACCATGGTGACCTCATGACGGAGAAAAGATGGTAAAAAGTCGCTTTAGCCTCGTTTCCACTAAGCGGTACGGTACACATTTACTCTCAAAAGTCAGGAACCAAAATAACCGATCCATACCATCCTCTTTTTACCCTCTTCTGTTGGGATGCCATGGACGACCTCGGAGGTGATGTCCCATTCTTCTTCGTCCTTGAACTTTTTTGCAGAATACACTCCATGCCCACGCCACTACGTAGCTTACAAAGTCAGGGAGCGGTTGTCTGTGGAAACACCAGTAAGATCAGGGTTAACCGTACTGAACCAAACCGGACCGCTTGGTGGAAACGGGGCTTTAGTTTCCCAGCACAGCTCGAGAGGATTTCCAATCACCTCGTGTGGCGTGCAGTGTGTTCTGGTGGTGGCGACGGTGCATGTTTTATTCTGCTGGATGGAGCCAACTTTCCAGATGAAAAAATCATCTCTTCTACATCAGATTTTATGGTGACCACTGATTCAGAGAGGAGGTTTCTGATTGGTCGGACAAAGTCTGACATTTTTCATCCTCAAACAAGTTTCAAGGTTTCTTTATCTAAAAGGTTAATGTGAGATTCAGTGTTCCAGATGTTCATTAAATGCAAACTCGAGGTTAAGAAGAGCAGACACGGGAGAGAGAGCGTTGCATTGTGGGAGTCTGATGAAACAAACGTCAGCATCGGCCCTGATGGATCGTAGCGTCTCGACCACGAAACAAAATCGATGTTTATGATGTTTAAATATTTAGTCATCTTCTTTTGGAGAGATGTTCATATGTTTTATTTGTTATTTATGTTTTAGCGTTCACATTTTTAAAGAGCACGTTGTTTATTATGGCGTGAGATGTTTCTGAACAAATAAAACATTGTGATAAAATCTGCGTCATGTCGTCTTGTTTTCTTGTTTGGACAGACGTGTCGATGATAATCCTTATTTTTGTCCGACACTGACGGTAAAAACACGTGCTCTTACAGCGGCGAGATGTTTTGTGACCACAGCTGGATGTAAATGTTAATCCTGATGGAAAACAAAACGAGGAAGTGGAGTTCTGCTGAGCTCCACAGAATCTCGCCGTCCCGTCCACAGCGCCCGGTGAACATAAGCAGCTTAGTGTCACAACACATCCTCCTGATGTTACAGCAACACAACAACAACAAGCTCGTGTTTACAGAGCTTATATTTATTTATTCCACCTAAAGAGACACACACACCAAAACGGAACGTTCTGAGAGAGCTGGTTTATACAGGGTCACAAACCTCCTCTGGTGCTTGATTCATGTTATATTTTGACCACAGCACAGATGTTTCATTTAGACCACCAGGGGACTGTTTGAAAAGGTGGAGAAGGGGGATGATATGTCCTCTTTAAAGTCAAAGTACCATAAACAGTGTCAGTAACATAAACTTAACATAACATAAGCTAGTGTCAAATCATCCCTTTAGCGGTGAAGGTGTGGGTGGAGTTTAGGGCCTAAACTTGCAGTTCAGTGATCGAGTAGGTTGTCTCTCAACCATAAGGTTTGGGGTTTTATCTGGTTCAGTGGTTGAAACTGATAAACGTTGTTTTCCTTTTGTTGTCAGAAATGTGTGAATGTGAACCGGCAGGCCGTGCAGAGTTCTGTAACTCGAGGTGCAGATTAGTGTCTATATATCTCTAAATAAATAAAACTGTCCTAAGCTAAATTAAGAGATGGGACTGAGATCACAAAAGTGTTGTTGAGCATTTTATTGTAAATGTATTTCTACAGTTCTTGAACTGAAGTAAAACAATGACGAATGAAGCCAAATATTGTTCAATAAATACACGAGGAGGATGGCATGAGAACGTCTGTGATGTCACATCATGCTGTTTCACTCTGTTCTTTATTTACACAGCACCATCTAGTGGTCACCTTTGAAATGTACTTCACAACCTCCCTGTGCACGACAGGAGTTTCAGTTCTGCTCGTGTCAAAACGACTTCATCGGCGCCGCCTCATTCCTTCACCTTGTCTCCATGACAACGTGACGTAGAGGCTTTTGGAAGTTTGGTTTCAGGGCGTGAGAAGAGCACGAGCGAGTTCAGAAAGAGTCCAGTTAGCAGACGGGGACAGGAGGCAGAGAGGAGAGCGACAGGCCATGGACAGGGCAAACAAAAAGTGCACAGGTGATATTGGGGCGGGAGTGGACAGGTGGAGGATGATCACGCCATGGACGTCATGGTCACAGGCTCTGGCAGCACTGCAGTTTGTTCTTCTGGCCGTCAGTGGTCGGGGGGACGCTGATGTCAACAACATTGTTGCCCGGAGACTCATCATGTGCAGATCTGTCTGCGATCTGCTTCTGTGACACGATGCGGTAGATTTCTGTAAGTGGAAAGTAAAGACAGAAATAAGAAACATGTTTCACATCGACAGTGAACTCCTCCGTAGAGACGTGAACTTTAACGTTTCATCCAAACCTGTTAAAATGTTCTTGAAGGCTTCTTCTACGTTCGTCGAGTCCAGAGCCGACGTCTCGATAAACGAGAGGGTGTTCTTCTCTGATGAGAGAGAATAAACACATATCAGTTCATGTCACAGATCATAAAACAAACGGGCATGGCATGCTCTGTAACCACTCTTTCCACATAGTCTGTGCACGCACTACGACAACGCCATGTTAGTCAATATCCTGTTTCCACATTACTTCATCAACATAACGTTAAAACAGAAAGAACAACAAATCATCCTCAGAAAGACAAAGAGACATGTTGTTTACACATTTATATCTTTATTCTCCTGAGATCTTGTAGTTTTTCTGTGATCTTGTAGTTCTCCTGTGACCTTGTAGTTCTGTGATCTTGTAGTTCTGTGATCTTGTAGTTCTCCTGTGACCTTGTAGTTCTGTGATCTTGTAGTTCTCCTGTGACCTTGTAGTTCTGTGACCTTGTAGTTCTCCTGTGATCTTGTAGTTCTCCTGAGATCTCGTAGTTCTTTGATGTCGTAGTTCTCTTGTGATCTAGTAGTTCTCTTGTGATCTTGTAGTTCTCTTGTGATCTTGTAGTTCTCCTGAGATCTCGTAGTTCTTTGATCTCGTAGTTCTCCTGAGATCTTGTAGTTCTCCTGTGACCTTGTAGTTCTTTTGTGATTTTGTAGTTCTATGATCTTGTAGTTCTCCTGTGATCTTGTAGTTCTCCTATGATCTTGTAGTTCTCCTGTGATCTTGTAGTTCTCCTATGATCTTGTAGTTCTCCTGTGATCTTGTAGTTCTCCTGTGATTTTGTAGTTCTGTGATCTCGTAGTTCTCCTGTGATCTCGTGGTTCTCCTGTGATCTCGTAGTTCTCCTGTGATTTTGTAGTTCAGTGATCTTGTAGTTCTCCCGTGATCTTGTAGTTCTCCTGTGATCTTGTAGTCTTCTTGTGATCTTGTAGTTCTCCTGTGACCTTGTAGTTCTGTGATCTTGTAGTTCTTCTGTGATCTTGTAGTTCTGTGATCTTGTAGTTCTCCTGTGATCTTGTAGTTCTCTTGTGATCTTGTAGTTCTCCTGAGATCTCGTAGTTCTTTGATCTCGTAGTTCTCTTGTGATCTCGTAGTTCTCTTGTGATCTTGTAGTTCTCCTGTGATCTTGTAGTTCTCCTGTGATTTGTAGTTCTTGATCTTGTAGTTCTCTGTAATTTCGTAGTTCTCCTGTGATCTCGTAGTTCTCCTGTGATCTTGTAGTTCTCCTGTGATTTTGTAGTTCAGTGATCTTGTAGTTCTCCTGTGATCTTGAAGTTCTCACGTGATCTTGTAGTTCTCACGTGATCTTGTAGTTCTCACGTGATCTTGTAGTTCTAACGTGACCTTGTAGTTCTCCTGTGACCTTGTAGTTCTCCTGTGACCTTGTAGTTCTGTGATCTTGTAGTTCTCCTGTGACTTGTAGTTCTGTGATCTTGTAGTTCTCCTGTGACCTTGTAGTTCTGTGATCTTGTAGTTCTCCTGTGATCTCGTAGTTCTCCTGTGATCTCGTAGTTCTCCTGTGATCTCGTAGTTCTCCTGAGATCTCGTAGTTTTTCTGTGATCTTGTAGTTCTCCTGTGACCTTGTAGTTCTGTGATCTTGTAGTTCTCCTGTGATCTTGTAGTTCTCCTGTGATCTCGTAGTTCTCCTGAGATCTTGTAGTTTTTCTGTGACCTTGTAGTTCTGTGATCTTGTAGTTCTCCTGTGACCTTGTAGTTCTGTGATCTTGTAGTTCTCCTGTGACCTTGTAGTTCTGTGATCTTGTAGTTCTCCTGTGATCTCGTAGTTCTCCTGAGATCTTGTAGTTCTCCTGTGATTTTGTAGTTCAGTGATCTTGTAGTTCTCCCGTGATCTTGTAGTCCTCTTGTGATCTTGTAGTTCTGTGATCTCGTAGTTCTGTGATCTCGTAGTCCTCCTGTGATCTCGTAGTTCTCCTGTGATCTCGTAGTTCTCCTGTGATCTTGTAGTTGTCCTGTGATCTTGTAGTTGTCCTGTGATCATGTAGTTCTCCTGTGATTTTGTAGTTCTCTATGATCTTGTAGTTCTCCTGTGACCTTGTAGTTCTCCCGTGACCTTGTAGTTCTCCCGTGATCTTGTAGTCCTCTCGTGATCTTGTAGTTCTCTATGATCTTGTAGTTCTCCTGTGACCTTGTAGTTCTCCTGTGACCTTGTAGTTCTGTGATCTTGTAGTTCTGTGATCTTGTAGTTCTCCTGTGACCTTGTAGTTCTCTATGATCTTGTAGTTCTCCTGTGACCTTGTAGATCTGTGACCTTGTAGTTCTCCTGTGACCTTGTAGTTCTGTGATCTTGTAGGTCTCCTGTGATTTTGTAGTTCTCCTGTGATCTTGTAGTTCTCCTGTGATCTCGTAGTTCTACTGAGATCTTGTAGTTCTCCTGTGACCTTGTAGTTCTGTGATCTTGTAGTTCTCCTGTGATCTTGTAGTTCTCCTGTGATCTCGTAGTTCTCATGAGATCTCGTAGTTTTTTGATCTCGTAGTTCTCCTGAGATCTTGTAGTTCTCCTGTGATCTTGTAGTTCTCCTGTGATCTTGTAGTTCTCCTGTGATCGTGTAGTTCTCTATGATCTTGTTGTTCTCCTGTGATCTTGTAGTTCTTCTGTGATCATGTAGTTCTCCTGTGATCTTGTAGTTCTCCTGTGATTTTGTAGTTCTCTATGATCTTGTAGTTCTCCTGTGATCTTGTAGGTCTCCTGTGATCTTGTAGGTCTCCTGTGATCTTGTAGTTCTGCTGTGATCTTGTAGTTCTGTGATCTTGTAGTTCTCCTGTGATCTTGTAGTTCTCCTGTGATCTTGTAGTTCTCCTGTGATCTCGTAGTTTTTCTGTGACCTTGTAGTTCTGTGATCTTGTAGTTCTCCTGTGATCTTGTAGGTCTCCTGTGATCTTGTAGTTCTCCTGTGATCTTGTAGTTCTGCTGTGATCTTGTAGTTCTGTGATCTTGTAGTTCTCCTGTGATCGTGTAGTTCTTCTGTGATCTTGTAGTTCTGCTGTGATCTTGTAGTTCTCCTGTGATCGTGTAGTTCTTCTGTGATCTTGTAGTTCTCTTGTGATCTTGTAGTTCTCTTGTGATCTTGTAGTCCTCCTGTGATCTTGTAGTTCTCCTGTGATCTTGTAGTTCTCCTCCTGTGATCTTATAGTTCTGTGATCTTGTAGTCCTCCTGTGATCTTGTAGTTCTCATGTGATCTTGTAGTTCTCATGTGATCTTGTAGTTCTCATGTGATCTTGTTGTTCTCCTGTGATCTTGTAGTCCTCTTGTGATCTTAGTTCTCATGTGATTTTGTAGTTCTATGTGATCTTGTAGTTCTATGTGATCTTGTAGTTCTCTTGTGATGTTGTAGTTCTCCTGAGATCTCGTAGTTCTTTGATCTCGTAGTTCTTCTGTGATCTTGTAGTTCTCCTGTGATCTTGTAATTCTCCTGAGATCTTATAATCCCCCAAGATCTTGTGATCCTGTGTGTACAGCTGCTCAAGTTTGCAGGTTTCCAGAAATGGACCCCATAGGATAGGTGTCGTAGGACACAGTAAAACCGTGGCGCCGACAGAACGCAGCGTGCATGGACTACGTGGAAATTGTGTGTTACACTTTACCTGCGAAAGCTCGAGCCTCATCAGTGGGCACGGCCCTGAGGTGACGAAGGTCACTCTTGTTTCCAACCAGCATGATGACGATGTTGTTGTCAGCGTGGTCCCTGAGCTCCTTCAGCCAGCGCTCCATGTTCTCATAGGTCAGGTGTTTGGCGATGTCATAAACTAGGAGAGCGCCAACTGCACCCCGGTAATACCTGGTGACGACATGAACCAGAATAGAATTACTTTATCTGTTTTATTGTATCGATCATGGTGGTGTAAACCCAAACCGCAGCGCTGGGATCTAAAACAGGGATCTGGAACGCCGCTGTTGTTCGTGGTAAGTCAGTTTCCCAGCAACATGTGCACAGAAGCCCCGAGTCCAACATGCTGTTCAGTTCATTTCGGAAAACATTTATTTGATTATTCAACATCCACAATCAGGAAAGGTACCAAAATAACCGACCTTTACAGGCCTACGTTTTGGCTCCCCTTCTGTTGGAGTGCCAAGCGAACCGCTCCGACCCTGAAAGGAGGCACGGCGATACTGCAGGCTGATGATTGGTCGAAAGAATCCTCACTTCCTGTGCTTCCTTACTTACAGGTATAATTGGCAACGATATTTATATTAAACTAATTTACTGTCGTCATGGAGACGACATTATGTAGAGATGGGACCGATCCGATCTTATATCGGTATCGGGTCTGATATCGAAGCAATTTATGGATCAGATATCGGACTGACGGCGCTGATCCACATCACTGATTAAGAAATACGGTCGGGCACTTAAAACGTCCTCACTTTGCTCAGTCTCTCTTTGAAGACGTTCTGACTGAACTGTAAGAAGAGTCCACAAATCGTCTCCATGACGACGCTCAGACGAGATGGAACAGCTCCTTCTGTATAAAATACAATTCTACACTTCAGTTAAAAACTTTTAATTTGAAAAACCTGACAGTTGTTGCTGCTTCCTGTTTGTCAGCACAATGCAACGCCATGTTTACTACAGCTTTGTGTATCCTTACAGATAACAACAACAACACTGTTAGTCATGGAGGATCTGTGATTCTCTAAACTAACAACGTGTCGCTGGCAAACCGACATGACCTGAACAGCATCGGCATGTCGGGCCCCTGAGGTGGCGTCCCTCATCTCCCCGTCACTCTAGGAATACTCACGCGGAGGTGATGGCTCTGTAGCGTTCCTGTCCCGCCGTGTCCCAGATCTGAGCCTTGATGGTCTTGCCGTCCACCTGGATGCTGCGGGTGGCGAACTCCACCCCGATGGTGCTCTTGCTCTCCAGGTTGAACTCATTTCTGGTGAAGCGGGACAGCAGGTTACTCTTCCCCACTCCAGAGTCTCCGATTAGAACGACTGCAACAAAAACAGAAATGTGAATTCAATTAATTCAGTAAGTTATCTGATAGGAACTTTATTCCCAGGGCTGCAGTACGCTCTCCACCTGTTGGCGGTACAGAGCGAACACCTGAGGATACACACAACACAAGCAGGGACCTGAACACGACGAAAACAACGACAGGAAGTGCAAACCAACGGCTTCACATTAGATGATGACAGTGAGGGATGGAGACAATCAGGGATCGAAATCAGACTGAACCTAGATTAAGGGATTTGTATAAAGCGGTTTGCGATTGGCAATGAGTTGAATTTTTAGACGGTTCTATTACTCTGTGTGTATTTGAGGTATAGCCATCTTAAAGTCTCTGAAAGCTAATTCACCGTGTTTGTTTCACATTTATATGGATTTTTAACAAATTAAATGATTTGGATTAAATGATTTGAAAACAAGCAGCGGGTGTATCAAACAGATTAATATCATAATCATCAGAAGCATCAATTATTCTTAAGGTCGTAGGTGTTCATGGAGGAGTCGGGTCTCTAACTTTTTCTTAAAGATGGAAAGGACTCTGAAGATTGAATCTAGTTTGGTATTTCATCCCACCATCGGGAGGGGTGACGACAGAAGAGAAGAGTCTAACTTAAAACTTAGAGTGGTGGTTATGAAGGTCGGACAAGGTGCCTTTGATTGTCCAGATTGCAGAGGGCGGGAACGGGATGTTCTGCAGTGAAGGCCTGGATTTATGCGAGCCGATGGAGGGTGGTGAACAGCAGAGCGACATGTCGGTTTAAGACCAGATGCACCACTGCGTTCTGGATCATCTACAGGGGTTTGAGTGTGCATGCAGCGAGACCTGAGAGTCAGCAGTTGCAAGTCAATGTGTGATATCACAAGAGCTCGAACCAGGAGCTATGCAGTATGCTCTGACAGGTACGGTCTGCTCTTCCACATGACTAGCAATCAACGTTAAGTTTAGCTGGTCATCATTGTGAGTGCTATCTATTTGTGGTTGAATATAAAGGGACTGGCTGGGATAACGAGGAGCTCATAGGATGAGCTGAAGGTGACGATCTTTCCTCCAGTCAGAGATATCAGTAGGCGGGGCAAGCTCCAGGCCGAGACTGTGATGTCATCTGATAGAGACGTATTCATAACTGATGATTCATGTGCTGCATGTAGCCTCATGAATATCTTTCATGCAAACACTGACTGTCACATATTCTGTACTACACAACTTTAGTCTTAACGTGCAGGATTCTCAACAGTAAAGTTAGAACTCAGTCATGGCCACGGTCAGTATCAGTAAAAGTGCTGACTTCTTTATCTGCCCTTCTCCTTATCAGACTTTGAACAGCTGTCCGGGACTCGAGCAGGAAGGAGCTGACAAACACACTCTACGGGAAATCTGACTCATCAGTTTGTCAAGGCCTCTGTTCCTGAGTCTCTGCTTCAGAGGATCAGTCAGTGTGTCCCAACAATCCCCGCTCGCCACACGTGATGAGGACAGTTAGCAGTACTCAATAAAGGGGCACGGCTCAGTGGTAGTCAGTCGTCGATCCCAAGATCCTGCAGCCACATGTCAGATGTGTGTTGAAGGAACAAGCTGCTGACTCCTAAAGTGAAGACAGAGTCAGCAGCTTGTTCCTTCAAAATAAAAGACAGACGTCTCCTAAAGTAAAGACAGAGTCAGCAGCTTGTTCCTTTAAAATAAAAGACAGACGTCTCCTAAAGTAAAGACAGAGTCAGCAGCTTGTTCCTTTAAAATAAAAGACAGACGTCTCCTAAAGTGAAGACAGAGTCAGCAGCTTGTTCCTTCAAAATAAAAGACAGACGTCTCCTAAAGTAAAGACAGAGTCAGCAGCTTGTTCCTTTAAAATAAAATACAGACTTCTCCTAAAGTAAAGACAGAGTCAGCAGCTTGTTCCTTCAAAATAAAATACAGACTTCTCCTAAAGTAAAGACAGAGTCAGCAGCTTGTCCCTTCAAAATAAAAGACAGACTTCTCCTAAAGTAAAGACAGAGTCAGCAGCTTGTCCCTTCAAAATAAAAGACAGACTTCTCCTAAAGTGAAGACAGAGTCAGCAGCTTGTTCCTTCAAAATAAAAGACAGACTTCTCCTAAAGTGAAGACAGAGTCAGCAGCTTGTTCCTTCAAAATAAAATACAGACTTCTCCTAAAGTGAAGCTGCTCCATCGTCTCTTCTGGGCCTCCATACATGTGTGGTGGTGACTGTGTCTGCAGAGACTCTGTCCTCTGACTGGATTTTACTGTTCTGCTTTGTTCTGGTTGACTCGGCACATTTCTGGGGGCGGAGCTGGTGTTTTTCTTCCAGCCAATGAGAGCGCAGCAGGTGAGTTTAGGAGTGGATAAAAAATATAATCAGAGTGAGGAGAAACACCAAGTGGATAAAGCTCGTTCTAAAACGAGGGTGAACCTTTTGTTGTCTTTTACTCGTGGACGTGGAGTTGGTCTACTGTGTGAATGTGTATGTGTCTGTCTACTGTTGGACAGGCAGGTGACAAACACCAGAGGTTAGCTTGTGCTAGCGTGCGTTAGCTTGCAGTGTAGCTACAAGCAGTAAACGTACACACTACATCCTACAGTGAGCCTAGGAGGAGGAGGGGCTTAGTTTGAATGTTTACAAACATTTCTACTGACTCCAAGATGCTCACACTGCTTTGTTGGTGGTGTATGAATGGATGAGTTAATACTGATGGACTCTTTACTCAGCAGCCTCTACCATCAGTGTGTGAATGTGTATGAATGGATGAGTTAATACTGATGGACTCTTTACACAGCAGCCTCTACCATGTGTAGGTGTGACCTGCATTATAAAAACACTTCGAGTCGTCAGAAGACTAAATAAATAAACAAGATGAAGTCCATCCTGTGAACTCAGTTGTAAAATCTTCAGGTTTCGACCTTTGAGATAAAAACTAAGTAACTTTAACAAGGATAGTAAGTCCAGCAGCGTGGTTTCAGGGCAACAGTATAAAACCGGGATGGGCCACATTATTTTGATTCTCACTTCCAAAGGGCCAAATTGTAAGAAATTATAGGAAACACAAAAAGACAATCACAATGATTATAATTAAACTAAAAGACCTATATATATATATATATATAATATTTAGCCTTCATCAGAATGTATCAACATTCATATTTTCAAACTCAAACAGAAATGCTCCATTTAATGAGCTAAACAGAATTAAAGCCATTTTTAAAGACTTTTTCAATGCTATGAGTCTTTTTGTGTTTATTAACGTTTATTTCACTTCCTTCTTCCATCATATTCCAGTACTGAAAATCATTTGATTAAAATCATCACCTTCCTGTTATGTGCAAGGCTTGGCAACTAAGGCTGAAATACATGGAAGGTTTCCTCATGTTTTCTTTGTGTTTTTAATTGACTAATATTAGCAGTTAACTGGTTCACCTGCTCTTTTCATGTGTCCCTCGACTGCTATTTTATTTATTTGGGAGAAAAGTTTGTTGATTATATTTGTTGTGAAATTCTAAAAAATATATATTTATTTAACAAAGATTACTTGTTAATTAAAAAAATTAAAGATGTTTTTTTTATTTTTTATGAATTGTATGAATGTTTACCAGAATCCCACTGTGACATCACAAGGAGAGCACATTTGAAACAGAGCATTTTTCTGTGTTGTAAGACTTATGTAGACCACAAACAAAGGACTGGATGGATTTATTTCACATGATGTGGGTCAGTAGACACTCAGGTTACCCAAATATATGTTCAACAACACTGAAGACGTGGATTTTTCTGAATATGTCCCTTTTAAGAAGAAGAATCATCTGCAAAGGGAAAGCTGCTGTTGGTAAACTTGGAAGGTAAACTATGTTTTAACCACTGTTTCAAATAAACAGGCAGTTAAGATTTACACAGGAGAACATTATCACCTTAATAATAATGAAAGTTATAATCGTGATAATTATAGCCTGGGATAACTTCATTTAGATGATAAAGTTTGACTTCATGTTAGTGGATGAAGGTGATCCACCCCGTTAGCTTTGGGAGGCTAACTCACCAACACACCTCCTACTTTAAGATCTAAATTATTTTCTACAGAGACCCTCAGGAGTAATCTAGGGGAACGTAAAGCCGGGTGGATACCTAGAACAGAAGATACCTGCGCCCCCCCCCCCCCCCCCCTTCAGTTAGCATGATTAGCCTCCGTTAGCTTAGCCGCCACCAGCTTCTGATGTTAGAGCTCTGACGTTACACAGTTAGCACACATGCTAAACGAAGGCTAGCACGTTTCCTTACTGGACAACATCGAACAAGGTTATCGATAGTTTCCGCTCCGCTCACCTTTGAACAAGAAGTCGTACTCGTCGTCTCTGTTCCCCATGTTTTGATACGATCACCTTTCAGAGTTTGTGGTGATGACAGAAAGTAGTTCCCCTGCCCTCGCCAGGTTGCTGTGCCCAGATGACAGGAGACAATGCGCACATAGCGCAGGGAGCAGGAGCGTAGACAGACCTTTTTCAGAGGGGGCGGGGGATAAACCGGGCCACCGACTTCTGCAGGAGTGTCCACAAGTGTTATGAACACACACATGAAAAGCATTAATTAACCCTTTCTATTTCCAGAATGAAGTGGCAACAATTAGATCAGGGATTCTCAGCCAGCCTCCTCACCATCACCAACTCATGAAAAATCAATTCTGATATTATATCTGAAGAGAAATTGAGCTGCTTGGACCACAGACGAGACAAAACATGGGACAGAGCAACGACACGGTTACAGCCAGCCTGTTGTAACCATAAACTGTAAATATGAATGTTTAAAGCCTGAGTGACGTCACCTGTCTGTTCCTGCAGGGGGCGCTGGAGTCCCATCGATGGCGGTCTCCATGCTGGAAATGCTGTCTCAGTCTAACTTTCAGTCAAGCTAACGACAGGCTGAGAGCTGGAGCTGAGGCAGGTTTTAAACCTCCTGACAAACTGTTACACCATGCCCACCTGTCAATCAGGTCAGCTACACACCTTATTGTGAATAACTCTTATCCTTCGTCAAATCAAAACTGATGAGTCATCAAAACATTCACCCCCCCCCGTA